GAGAACCACTGCTTTTACCGTTTTGGCTATTGCTTTTTCGTCCCCCCAAATGTTTGTTAGTGTGTTTTGCATATCATTATGACCTAAGAATGATGTTTGGTTACGGGTTGTGAGGAGGAATTGGCTTTGTGTTTGAATTTGGGGCCTGTTTGGTGAGTGTGACTCTACAGCAAAATCGTATCTACTGCTGTAACTTGGGTTTATGTTTTTTAAGCATATATAGGGGGGGTATGGTCCGTGAAGGTTTTTTCGGTTGGTTTTAAAAGGCTTGGTTTTTGCCCTTGCTAGGCCCTGCGTTAGCTCACTCTCTCCCTAGGCGCCTCGTTCGGCTAGTGTCCCACCCACTAGCATCAAGAATGGACGCCAGAGCTAACGCAGTTAGAGTTGGCGGTGGGAATCGGTGTTGGGCATCGGTCTGTTGGCCCCTGAAATGCTGGTTGTTGGGATGCCGGCATTTCAAGCGAGGACGATTGGTATGTCCTTGTGTGGCTGACTCTCCGAGGTTGGATTTCGGTTTGCCAAGTTTCCTTAATTTGGCTTGGTGTGCCGATGTTAGGTGTGTCGGCCCTGCATTAGCTCCTTCCCTTCCGGCGTTTGGTTCTTCCATTACACCCACCCAGGTGGAAGGACCAGGCGTCGGGGGCTAATGCAGTCGGTTTTATGGTGGCTCTAAGTGGGTGGGACGGTTGGCTACTGTTTTGTTGGCCTTTGAAATGCCGGTTGTTGGGATGCCGGCATTTCGAACGGGGATGGTTGGATATTTCGTCATTGCTGAGCCGACTCTGGGATGGTTGCTCTTTCGGTTAGCCAAATTTCTTAAATTTGGCTCGGTGTGCCAATGTTAGGTGTGTCGGCCCTGCTTTATCTCCTTCCCATCCGGCATTTGGTTCTTCCATTACACCCACCCAGGTGGAAGGACCAGTCGCCGGGGGCTTATGCAGTCGGTTTTAGGTTGGCTCTAAGTGGGTGGGACGGTTTGCTACGGTTTTGTTTGCTAACCTGCATGGCACTATTCGATGTGACTGTCATGGGCACCTTGCATTCGCTGGTGGGCTGACTACCGAGTTAAAAACTTGGCCTTTGGTCTGTTGGTGGGTTGTGCGGTGTGTATGAAGTTTGCGATGCGTAATTGTGTGTGAGATGTATTTGGTTTTCATGGTTAGGTTTGATCCTTGTTGTAGCAGAGAAAACTTGGCGTGTAAGCCTTTTCAATATGGTGGGCTACGCCTTTGTTAGCAATGGTTTCCTTTGTTTTGTACCCTCTTTGTGGTGGCATGACTTTTGTTCATATAGCTTTTGCATCCGGAAATCAAACTGTGGTGGCATGACTTTTGTTTTTCACATGTGGTTTCTGAAGTGTTGGCTTTCTGAGAACCACTACTTTTACCGTTTTGGCTATTGCTTTTTCGTCCCCCCAAATGTTTGTTAGTATGTTTTGCATATCATTATGACCTAAGAATGATGTTTGGTTACGGGTTGTGATGAGGAATTGGCTTTGTGTTTGAATTTGGTACCTGTTTGGTGAGTGTGACTCTACAGCAAAATCGTATCTACTGCTGTAACTTGGGTTTATGTTTTTTAAGCATATATAGGGGGGGTATGGTCCGTGAAGGTTTTTTCGGTTGGTTTTAAAAGTCTTGGTTTTTGCCCTTGCTAGGCCCTGCGTTAGCTCACTCTCTCCCTAGGCGCCTCGTTCGGCTAGTGTCCCACCCACTAGCATCAAGAATGGACGCCAGAGCTAACGCAGTTAGAGTTGGCGGTGGGAATCGGTGTTGGGCATCGGTCTGTTGGCCCCTGAAATGCTGGTTGTTGGGATGCCGGCATTTCAAGCGAGGACGATTGGTATGTCCTTGTGTGGCTGACTCTCCGAGGTTGGATTTCGGTTTGCCAAGTTTCCTTAATTTGGCTTGGTGTGCCGATGTTAGGTGTGTCGGCCCTGCATTAGCTCCTTCCCTTCCGGCGTTTGGTTCTTCCATTACACCCACCCAGGTGGAAGGACCAGGCGTCGGGGGCTAATGCAGTCGGTTTTATGGTGGCTCTAAGTGGGTGGGACGGTTGGCTACTGTTTTGTTGGCCTTTGGAATGCCGGTTGTTGGGATGCCGGCATNTTGCAGTTAAAAAGCTCGTAGTTGGACTTTGAGATGGGTTTGCCGGTCCGCCTCATGGTGTGCATCGTTGAACTTGTCTCTATTGCTGGTGATGTGCTCCTGGTCTTAATTGGTCGGGTCATGCCTCCAGTGCTGTTACTTTGAAGAAATTAGAGTGCTCAAAGCAAGCCTACGCTCTGTATACATTAGCATGGGATAACATTATAGGATTTCGATCCTATTACGTTGGCCTTCGGGATCGGAGTAATGATTAACAGGGACAGTCGGGGGCATTTGTATTTCATAGTCAGAGGTGAAATTCTTGGATTTCTGAAAGACGAACAACTGCGAAAGCATTTGCCAAGGATGTTTTCATTAATCAAGAACGAAAGTTGGGGGCTCGAAGACGATCAGATACCGTCCTAGTCTCAACCATAAACGATGCCGACTAGGGATCGGTGGATGTTGCTTTTAGGACTCTACCGGCACCTTATGAGAAATCAAAGTCTTTGGGTTCTGGCGGGAGTATGGTCGCAAGGCTGAAACTTAAAGGAATTGACGGAAGGGCACCACCAGGAGTGGAGCCTGCGGCTTAATTTGACTCAACACGGGGAAACTTACCAGGTCCAGACATAGTAAGGATTGACAGATTGAGAGCTCTTTCAACGGGTAACATGTAAATTATTATTACCCTAATCAGAACGGTACATCAACATCTAATGTTGAACCATAAAGATGGTTCCGTGCATTTAATGAATACAACAATAATACAACAAAACAACAACTTGGCACGCAGGCCGTACAAATAAACAATCAACGGTTGCAACAAAGTTGCCAACAAAACAAAATGGTAATCCACGTCCTTGCTCCAGTGTCAGCTTCCAGCTTCCAGTACCCCGCATCTCAAGGCAGTAGTATGGTAGACCAAACCAGAGCATGGAGGGAGCATATGAAGGTGGCATCTCAAGCCAAACACATCACTCCCTCTCCACGGACCCAAAGTCACAGACAAGCAATCAAAAACAGCAAGACTGGGCAGCAGCAGCGTCACCTAGTCCATGTGCAGCATCAGCAAAAACCTGCGTGAAAACAGCTGGGAACCTGCCCCCTGCAAGCAAGTTAGGTTCCTGCAGTTTCCTTCAAGCATTGATTCCACGGCAATGGTCCAAAGCCTTCAGTTTATGGCTCCAACTCCAGCGTATTCTTACAACCCCATGAAGTCCAAAACACCAGTTTTGAACACCATTTTAAGGGGGAGCAGGTATTTCCAGAAGTTGAGCTCCAGTTATAAAATCAATTGGAGTTCATGGGTGAACTCTGAGTCTTCCATGTTCACAGTCCTCATCACAATCAGAAGTGGGACTGTCCAACACAAGCTCTACACCCAATCCAATTGAAACCACAACGTGCTGCCCAAGTATTGTACAGTCGAGTCCAAAGCAAGTCCAAAGAGCTCCATGGCCGGGCACGCTCCCTTGTATCCACACTATGAGCAACATCCCCTATCTGTTGTCCTAGTGAAACTGGGACGACGAGGGCTAAGTTCTGAGTTCACAATGTCATCCACCCTCGTCAAGGAAGACAACAAAATGCCAAGATCACCAGAGAAAACTCTGACCATTCAAGACGGCATAAAATGATTGGTAATCATCCTCCAACTGACCGGGTAAGAGTATCGCTATGATGTCCACAAAAAGAGAACAAGAACCGGCGAGATCCTCCATCATGCATACCAAAACTACCCCATCATCAACAGCATCACTCAAGCGAAAGCCGTGGACATCAAGAACAGGCATGATCCAAAGCAAGGACCAGGAAGTTGCCCTAAGAATCCCCTAAGCAGTAGGGAAAGCCACAGTAAGGGGTACCCCAAGGCTCCAAGAACAATTGACTAAGGAACAACCGTCTTTCACAACAAATTGAGCAGCTCCATCATGTACAGCCCATACACAAAAAAGATCCAAATTCCATGGTAATGCAGTTTCATTACTGCAATACTGCCCAGGCCAATGGCAGCAGGAAGCCCACTGTCCAGCCGGCACCCAAAATCAACAAAAATGAAGCAGTGTCCAAAGCAAGGTTGAAACAGGCAGTCCTTCCAGTAGGCGCAGTCATACCCAAGGCACAAACAAGGCACAAGGTTACTAGCTCCCTCCCCAACAAAACCACACAACCCACTTATGTCAAGGGTTCAAATCCCTACCTCATGCAAATGAGGTAAGGTATGACAAAGTTGATTCTTCAGGAGGTTGAGGGAGAGGTGGAACTTTCACGAAGACCATTATACCAGGGTAGATGTTCCAACAAAAAGGCACAGCCCAAACCATGCAAGGAGTACAACCAGAGCAGCAATCAAATGGGTAGGCGACCCATGAACATGGACAGCAGACCAAAAGCCATCCAGTCCCATGTATCAACCCAGGACACATCAGGTAATCCTTCCCGGCAACTAACCACATCAAAAAGTTCATACACACCACAAAAAACAGCACGAAGAACAGCAGCACGGATGCACAGCAGTTCATTCCACAAAATCCAAGTATACATCAACAGAGGTGTTATTAAAAGAACATAAACAGCCTCTCAAAACCAGCAAGGAATCCACAAAGAGTTGGTCAAGAAGCAAGCAAAATCTTAGCAGAAACGCAGTCAAATATCTCGCTGTGAACATACGATTCCCAAAATCCCAAAATCGAAACAAAAATCAAATGATGTTGAAATCCAACTTCATAGAGTGGAAGAGGATTACAAACCGCTCATAATATCCAAGAATTAGCAATCAAAAAGGTCTGGATTGAAGTGAATCAGAGATGCAAAGCCGCGAGTGAACAGTATCGGGCATAGCATTGACCTTCGTTTCTTGCAAAATCCTTCTCCAAAAACAGCGTAATTGCTCCTGATATGGATACACCTGCTGTAGGCGCACCCCAGGTTCCAAAAATGGTGTAAAGCAAGCTCAAATCCATGGAGTAATCATCGTTCTCCTCTTCGCGGCACTGTTCATTGCGCGGCTAGAGAGAGAAAACGTCGGACTCCATTGAGATCTCTTTCAAGATTCTATGGGTGGTGGTGCATGGCCGTTCTTAGTTGGTGGAGCGATTTGTCTGGTTAATTCCGTTAACGAACGAGACCTCAGCCTTCTAACTAGCTATGCGAAGGTATCCCTTCGTGGCCAGCTTCTTAGAGGGACTACGGCCTCTTAGGCCGCGGAAGTTTGAGGCAATAACAAGTCTGTGATGCCCTTAGATGTTCTGGGCCGCACGCGCGCTACACTGATGTATTCAATGAGCGTATAGCCTTGGCCGATAGGTTCGGGTAATCTTTGAAATTTCATCGTGATGGGGATAGATCATTGCAATTGTTGGTCTTCAACGAGGAATTCCTAGTAAGCGTGAGTCATCAGCTCGCGTTGACTACGTCCCTGCCCTTTGTACACACCGCCCGTCGCTCCTACCGATTGAATGATCCGGTGAAGTGTTCGGATCGTGGTGATGTGGG